GGGAAAAACGGAAAAGCTGGAAAGGGGGAGGAGAATCCCAGCTCACACATCCAAGGACAAAGCCCAGGTGCCCAAGGAATTCCAGGAATTCCAGCTGGGATTCGGGCCTGGAATCCCAATCCCAATCCCTGGAATCCCAATCCCAATCCCTGGAATCCCAATCCCAAATCCTTGGAATCCCAATCCCAATCCCTGGAATCCCAATCCCAAATCCTTGGAATCCCAATCCCAATCCTTGGAATCCCAATCCCAAACTGGCACAGGGAAAAGAGCTCCAAAGGGGCGAAATCAATCCCAAAATTCCCAAATTTTCAGGCAGAGCCCAGTCCTGCTGCATCCCACGGGATCTCCGGGGAGGGGGAAATGAAATCTGGGATCAGGGAATGTCCTGGGATTGGGATTGGGATTGGGATTGGGATTGGGAATGGGACACAGCCAATCCCAGGCCTCTCCTCATTCCTGGTACTGATCCAAAGCCTCTGGATGCTTCTGGAAAACCCTAAAAAATTCCCTAAATAAACGAGCTGCCTCTAATTAGCCCTGAGCTCGTTCATTTAGGGGATTCCTTTAGGGAATCGTTCATTTAGGGAATCGTTAATGTAGGGAATCGTTAATTTAGGGAATTCATTTAGGAATCATTAATTTAGGGAATTCATTTAGGAATCGTTAATTTAGGGAATTCATTTAGGAATCATTAATTTAGGGAATTCATTTAGGGAATTGTTAATTTAGGGAATTCATTTAGGAATTGTTAATTTAGGGAATTCATTTAGGAATCGTTAATTTAGGGAATTCATTTAGGGAATTGTTAATTTAGGGAATTCATTTAGGAATCATTAATTTAGGGAATTCATTTAGGGAATTGTTAATTTAGGGAATTCATTTAGGGAATTAATGAATTACCAGGGAATGAACTGCCCCCAGCTGTCCCTGGAGTTATTCCCAAGGGTGGGATCCCATCCGAATCCAAGGATTTCCCCTCGCAGTCCCTCTGCAGCCAGCAGGGAAAGGGGTCCTGGATCATCCAGAAGGGGATGGGATAAAAACGGGAAAATTGGGATCAGGGGGGCCTCTGCAGGGAAAAATGGGAAAAATTGGGAAAAACGGGATCAGAAATGGGATCAGAGGGGTCTGTGCAGGGAAAAATGGGGAAAATGGGATCAGAAATGGGATCAGAGGGGTCTGTGCAGGGAAAAATGGGATGAAAATTGGGAAAAACGGGATCAGAAATGGGATCAGAGGGGTCTGTGCAGGGAAAAATGGGAAAAATTGGGAAAAACGGGATCAGAAATGGGATCAGAGGGGCCTCTGCAGGGAAAAATGGGAAAAATTGGGAAAAACAGGATCAGAAATGGGATCAGAGGGGTCTGTGCAGGGAAAAATGGGATGAG